ATGCAAACAGTAATATTTGCTCTGACACTGATTCATTGGGTGACTATCAGCAAGTCACTTAACCTCTCTGTGCCTCAGTCCTCCATAAAAGTGATACATGCCTACCTCAGAGGTTTTGTGAGGATGCAAGTGGCTTATCTTGAATATACCTTTAGCCTTATGTTTTGAAAAGATTAACTTAATATCTAAAAGTATTAAGCGCTTTACTGTCATTTTTTTTTAACTAGAGGAGAGAACTGAGGCTAGTTCTTTCAAGACTAATTAACTCCCAGACAAATATTGCCTAGGATCATTTAAGATGAGGGATGAATTATAGGCTTGTGGCCACTGGGAGGCAGAGAAGTGCTTGCACTTATTCTTTTTCTTCCCCCTCCTTCCCCCCATTCCCAAGTACTTTAGAGTATGGGAAGGAATAGATTGGTTTTCACTCAGACTTTCAGATCAGGATAAAAAGGGTGAAGTTGGTAAGGAAAGAATGTAGGTACGATAACTTTGGAAAGGGAAACATTTAGAGATGATTCAGTGAATTGAGGAAAAAGGCAAAGGAAGGAAACAATTAGGACCTATTTGCATAGACAAGTCATTCTTAATGCTATACTGTATTCCAGGCTTACACCACTTTCAGTGTGTTAGGAATTATAAAACAAAAAGTTTTAAACACAATAATGCTGACAATTGAACTAATAATGATGAAAAGCTGAACTAATAATGATGAAAAGTGAGTTGGGAGAGTGACAGCATAAACATACTGTACCTATATTTGCTAACTAAAAATGTTATGGTTCAGGTTTGGTCAGTGGTAACACTCAGCACTGACCAAACACTGGAGTATGATGGAGAGATATTTATACAGTCCATGCATAGTATTGAGAAGTGCTGCACTATATGTTTGTTGCATTGTGTAATCTATCCCTCCCATTACCTTAACCTTTTTTGATTGGTTGAAAGTTTTCTTGACCACACTGGACATTTCTGACTCCATCTGTGCTGGCCTTTCTGTGGAACATGCACCTCAGAGAAATCACAAGATCCTATTACAGAATTCCCTGCAAAGTAAAACACCACCTGGGTCGCTTCTTTTATTGTCACTAACTCTGTTATGCTGTGTAGATGAATACATATGAAGCAGTAAAATAAGTTGGTGTATAAGGGGGGGGAAAAAATCTCTGGTATAGGATTCCCAGTGGAAAGAAGCAACTGCCAGTTTTATGGGCTACAGACTAGGTGGGGGCCATGTGTCTGGCTGTTTTGTGGTCAAATGTTGTGGTCAAATGTGTGTTGGTTTACACTTGTGCTTGTCTATCATTAAATAAAGTATATGCAACATTTTACGGTCTTGTCTGTCTGAGCTTTCATTAGAGATGTAAAAAAGAATGACTCATGCGCCTTAAACTTGGGTGACAGTGGAGATCTAGTCCACATAACTACTGGTATCTGAAAAGGTCTCATTATAAACCCCCTTCATACATGTAAACCAGTAGGGTTGCATTTCCCAAAATACTGGGGAATCCCCGATTTTAAGAGCGGAGACCTGAAGAACTTGTTTGGAAGCTTTCTCAACTACTATTGGAAAGGGTTTTTTTTTTTTGGTTTTTTTTATCAGCAGAGGGCTCTGCTTTCAGAAATTTGGGAAATGCGTTAGTGTGTAGACTTCAGAGCTGATGCACACTTATGGCTTTCTGAGGGGTCAGTTTGACCTGGAGGGGTGCAGGTTGTTTAGGGCCTGTGAAAAATCAGCTTTTTCCACTTTTCAAGAATTTTTTTCATATACTGTACAAAAGCAGAAAGTTAAAACTTACTATTAGGACCATTCAAGGATAATATATTCATAATATGTAAAATGTATAATTTAAATAGTCTTGGTTTCAGAATCGCAATACTCCAACAGCTCTCAAAAATAAATAATAATAATAATAAATCTTTCCTGCTTCCTCTTTCAAAATAGTTACTGGATGCTATTTAAAACACAAGTCATGCCAACTACGTGATGGTACTCGAAAAAGCTGGTAAGGGCAGTGCACAGATGCATATCTTGTTTTATGTCTACAGATGTGCGTTTATACTTTTGGAGATAATGAATGTCTGAAGGTGGTTTCTGTGGTATGACTCATGTCAGTCCTGGCACACCCTGTTTTATTAGCTGGAATGCATTTCCAGATGTCATAAACCAAGTTTAGTAATCGGTGGAATGATCAATTAATAAATAAGCCTGAAACTTGCAGGTAGCTTGGACCATTAGTTTTCCTCACTTTCTAGACACAGTTGGACCTAATAATATTTCTTTCCTGATACAAATACCTTTCTTGTACCCGAAACTGAATATGCATTTCAAATCGTTTAACCTTTCTTCTCTCTCATCATCATTGTCGTCGTCATCATTATCATTATAGTGAACTGTGAAGAAATTGTTCTTTGCATCGCTGCTGTGATTAGTTCTTAAACTAAACTAAGTTATTAAACTTATCCCATCTAATTCTTTAGTGTATTGACACTAAAGAACTGGGTGGGACCTAAATAAATTTATTTGGAAGATAAGGATTTTTGGAAAAAGATCAAGTTGTTCTGTTTTAAAAGCTTAGCATTGGAAAAAAAATTCTCAAAGAGGTTTACAAAGAGAACCTGAACAGAAATAAGCATTTTAAGAAGATGCGCTTTGCAAAACAGGAGAAGTGTTGTTTTCTAAAGAAGCAAATATATAGCTGTTCTTTTCTTTGTGGCTGATTCTGCAGGGTTTTACCAAGTGCCCAGTCCAGAGCCGCTGGCATTGATGAAAACTACAACGAACTTCCATGAGAGCCTGAACAAATGCAGCCTGTTGGCTTTTCCATGTAAAGGTCTGATTCTGTAAACAATGCCAAACCAGTGCATGCACAGGAACAGTGTGTAAATGTTAGTGTATACAGAGAAATTAACAGGATCTGCCTTAAAACAGAAAAGCTGGTTGTTTAGGCCAGGATCCTGTCTCCTGGCATTTCCCTCCAGCACTGACTGCCCAGACATGGCCTTGTTCCTAATGGAAGTCCAGAGAGAACAGCCTCCAGGCTGCTGATGGAGCCTGCAAGACACCCCTGAGCTACCAGAACCAGCTCTGGCTGAGGAAGTAAGAGAGTAGCAGGCTGCTGCAGGCCAAGGTGCTGTCAGCTGGCTCCTCCCTGCAGAGAAGCCAGTGTTGCCAGGTCTTAAATATAAAATTATTGTATTGGGAGCTTGAAATTATTACATTTGCTGAAAAACTATGGTACACTGAAAAAATATGCAAATATGTCATCGCCTTATTTACTTTATATTGCTCACTGTAGGATGCCAGTGAGTGAGAACTCTGTTGTCAACGTTGAAGCATTTCTTTATTTTGAGGCAGTCCTAAGAAAGTGTTGACAGCAAACCCCGAAGTAGGTTAAGACTCCTTGCGAGTGACTTGGGTTTTGCATAGGCTGCATCAGTTAATTTGTACATTTTGAGCACTTTTACTATTATTGATCGTGCGTGGCATAAGGGTTGAAAATTATCATACAAACACGATCATTATCGTACGGCTGGCAACACTAAGGAGCCTAGCCCTGTCCCCACCCCCACTGCCCCAGGTGACGGCTGAGGCCCCTACAGACTACAGCTTGCAGCATGCCCTGCGCTAACAGCGCCTAGAGCAGGGGCAGGGACTACCCCGCCCGGCATACATTGCGCCAGCAGGACCGGGACTACGGCTCCCAGCGTGCCTTGCGGCCGCAAAACCACTATTCAGGCTAGTGGGTGGAGAGTGACTACGTCTCCCAGCATCCCCCGCGCCAGCAGCGGGTGTGATAAACTGGGGCGGACGGTGGTGACTGCTGGGTGCTGTAGTTCCGGTGCGTGAGTGGAGTCGTGCGGAGCGGAGTGGGGCGCGGAGCCGACCATGGACAAGCTTAAGCGGGTTCTGAGCGGGCAGGATGCCGAGGAGTCGAGCGGGGTGAGCGAGGTACCTTCTCCCCCCCTCCGCACACGCGGCGCGGGTTCGAGGCGGCCGTGGGCAGCGATGCGGGGGCGGGGGGCTCTGGGTTGGGGGCGCCCAT